GGTTATTACACATTTTAATAACCTTCATCTTCCAGGTGGGTTAAATGTAAAAACTCATACTATAAAACTGCAAATTTATCATTAGGAAATTAAGTTGGGAAGGATTTTTGTGAACTAGTCAGGTCAAAAATTTACAAATTATAAAATAAAATATGTTTCATTTAAAACATTAAAATTAAACCTTCCAGCTTATCAAGAACAACTAAAAGATAAAAATACAACCACAAACTAGAACCTTATTTTTTATAACACACAGAATCTGTGAAAATTATTTGAGGATAGGATTGAAGTTGGCATCTTCTGGGGGGAATAATATTTCCTAGATTCCTTCTATCATTGCTAACAACAGGGCTCTTAAGTTAAATTCGCCAATTACATTTTTTTTTCAATATACACACATAGTGTAATTGTCATGTTTTCCCCTTTCCTATGAGCTCAGAGAAGTGCCTAATAGTTTTTTTAAAAACATTTTTTAATATATTTAACCCAATATTTTCATAATTTTAACAGATGGATTGTTCAGGGTCCCCAGTCTGCTATAATGCCAGAACTAGGATGGTACTCACATTTTTAGCCATTTCTATCCCCTGCCCCGTGTTTTCTTAACTCTTAGCTGGTGAGCTGTTATGAAAGGGTGGACTTGAATACAAGTTTACTTCTCCAAATATAAGATTTCTGATTTCAAAGTAATGACACTTCTGGGATCCATCATTGGGCTCTAGCAGAAATACGGTAGATGACCTAATTCATTCCCAGAGGTAGACCTCAGATTGCAGAAGACCATCAGAACCAAGAGTACAACACACCAGGATCTGGACTTTCCACTGTTTTTAAAGTTTTTACAGTTACTAGGCTGCAATCTTCAAACTCTGCCACAAGAAAAACTCCAGAAGTAACTCTGAGCTCTGAAGTTTCAGCTGTATATTACCTACAGGAAGTTGTGCAGGTCCTCCATTTTCTTGCTTTTTTTGTATTTTTTACTTCTTGGGTTACCTCTAAAACTCTGAATCTCACCATCATTCTTGCTTGGATTTGATGACCTGGTCACTGACAGTAAGTTCTTCCCTTGGGTCTAATCTTTTAGCTCTTTCTTTCCTCTACAGTAATTTGCCTTCCACAAACCTTTTCCTATCTTGGACCTATTCCATTTGTTCTTTTCCTGGATTTATGAGTCATCTCTAGTCACTCCTTGTCCTCCTTAAGCACCCAACTTGTCTAGATCTATAAATTACAAAAAGTAGAACTCAGAAGGGAGTTACTTGCCGCCTCCAGTTAATGGTGCACTTACTACTCAAACCAGATTGTTGGGAGGGTTACCTGAATCGGTCTTCCATCAGGTGTCAGCACCTCTTCTGAAAGTTCCATCATCTTCAAGGCCATCAGAGCAATGGGTTTAGCATGGCAGAGGCTTTTTCTGTGGAGCCCTGCTGCAACACAGTAGGCATCACCTATTGTTTCCACCTGCAGCAATCAGACAAATCAAATGCAAACGTATGATAATGAGCCCGAAGAGAAATGATTAGTTATCTGCAATCACAAATGTTGCTGAAAAACACGTCGGCAAAACATCAATAAATTAAGCAATTAGACAACTGTGTATAATCACAGCAGAGTTTGCAAACAGCCACAGTCAAATACTGACATCTCACTCCAGGGTTGTTCATTAACACTATGGCTACAGATGATCATTGAAATTAGGAACAACTATAATATAAAATAATTATCCCCCACGAAAATAGAACTGTCAGTATTTTGCCTAGATAATTTCCAAATGATCGCCTTTTCCAGAGCCATCTCTTCATCTCCTTCCAACTTTCAAGTATTCCTTTGGAAAGTATTTTTTTCCCCAATTTTTCCACCTGAAGAAAATTGTTCCACACTTTTAGATATATCTGTAACTTTTCATCAGGTCTGTTCTTTCTTACTCTTAAAAATTGTAATGCCTAATGTTTCTTAAATATTCATACTGCATACCGTTAATTGTGTCAACCACTTTATGTACATGGTCCCATTTTATCTTCACAAATATCCTACATCAAAGAAACAAGTATTAGGCCAGGTGTGGTGGCTCACGCCTGTGAGTACTTTGGGAGGCCAAGGCAGCGGGTCACGAGGTCAGGAGATCGAGACCATCCTGGCCAACATGGTAAAACCCCATCTCTACTAAATATACAAAAATTAACTGGGTGTAATGGTGCATGCCTGCCCAGGTTTAGCATGGCAGAGGCTTTTTCTGTGGAGCCCTGCTGCAACACAGTAGGCATCACCTATTGTTTCCACCTGCAGCAATCAGACAAATCAAATGCAAACGTATGATAATGAGCCCGAAGAGAAATGATTAGTTATCTGCAATCACAAATGTTGCTGAAAAACACGTCGGCAAAACATCAATAAATTAAGCAATTAGACAACTGTGTATAATCACAGCAGAGTTTGCAAACAGCCACAGTCAAATACTGACATCTCACTCCAGGGTTGTTCATTAACACTATCGCTAGAGATGATCATTGAAATTAGGAACAACTATAATATAAAATAATTATCCCCCACGAAAATAGAACTGTCAGTATTTTGCCTAGATAATTTCCAAATGATCGCCTTTTCCAGAGCCATCTCTTCATCTCCTTCCAACTTTCAAGTATTCCTTTGGAAAGTATTTTTTTCCCCAATTTTTCCACCTGAAGAAAATTGTTCCACACTTTTAGATATATCTGTAACTTTTCATCAGGTCTGTTCTTTCTTACTCTTAAAAATTGTAATGCCTAATGTTTCTTAAATATTCATACTGCATACCGTTAATTGTGTCAACCACTTTATGTACATGGTCCCATTTTATCTTCACAAATATCCTACATCAAAGAAACAAGTATTAGGCCAGGTGTGGTGGCTCACGCCTGTGAGTACTTTGGGAGGCCAAGGCAGCGGGTCACGAGGTCAGGAGATCGAGACCATCCTGGCCAACATGGTAAAACCCCATCTCTACTAAATATACAAAAATTAACTGGGTGTAATGGTGCATGCCTGCCCAGCTACTAGGGAGGCTGAGGCAGGAGAATTGCTTGAACCCGCGAGGCGGAGGTTGCAGTGAGCCAAGATCACACCACTGCACTCTAGCCTGGTGACAGAGTAAGACTTGGTCTCAAAAAAAAAAAAAAAGGTGGCACATATACACCATGGAATACTATTCAGCCATTAAAAAGATGAGTTCATGTCCTTTGCAGGGACAGGGACAAAACATGAAACCATTGTTTTCAGCCAACTAACACAGGAACAGAAAACCAAACACGGCAAGTTCTCACTCATAAGCAGGAGTTGAACAATGAGAACACACGGACACAGGGAGAGGAACATCACATGCCGGAGCCTGTCAGGGGGTGGGCGACTAGGGGAGGGGTAGCATTAGGAGAAATACCTAATGTAGATGACGGTTGATGGGGGAAGCAAACCACCATGGCACGTGTATACCTATGTAACAAACCTGCATGTTCTGCACATGTACCCCAGAACTTAAAGTATAATTTTAAAAAAAGAAACAAGCATTAGTGATATTTGAAAGATGAAAAACTGAGGTGCAGAGGCCCATCCATAACCACATAATTGAGAGTCAACAGCTACTGTATGGGTCTACTCTCTTCTAATTCTGTTGTCAGCATCCATTCTGAATGGCCATTGCTGTTGATAAATATTTTAAATATTTACCCCATTTCCACAGCATAGAACATGGAATAAAAGTTCTAGTACTTTAGATAAAAGCTCTCTAATTATCCACAATAGAGATGGTGGTTTAATGGCAAAAACTGCAATTACTTTTGCACCAACCTAATAAAATCCTCAATAGTTTTAATGTTATTAATTAGGCTGAAGTGATGAAAAATTGTACTAAATGCACAATTCCAGTGTCACTTTTTCTGTGATGTGCTCCATGTTCCTTCCTTTAGTTTTTATCAAATTATTTCTCAAAGAACTAATCCTTTCTTTATTCTGTTTCGACAGCACTTCCACATATCTCTGCTTTAACATTCAGCATAAGCTATAATCAATATGTATCTATATAAAGTCAATACGTATCCCTGGCTACGATGTGAGCTTTTAAGAAATGGGACTATGTTTTTTTCATCTCTGTATTCACAGAACTTAGCATAATGTCTATGATATAGCTATTTATTAAATAATATTTATTGAATATTTGCTAAATGAATAAATAAGTCAATCAACCATGCTAACCATAATTACAGTAAGTAATTTTCACTCTTGGCTTATTTTCGTCATTCATTTTATGAGCGCCACCTAGATCTGTGTGCTATGTAGATCTGTATAGGAAAATGCATCAGTGATGGAGATGCTTCCAGCATAAATATACTAAGAATTATAAAATATTCTATTATTTTTAATATCAAAAATTAAATTTCCATGTAAAAGCATTCCAACACTACAATATTAAAAAGATATACTGCATGAAATTATATGAGCACTAATTTAGGGAATATTATGAGAATACTTAAGAAGCTCATGGGACCAACACTGCAAAACTTATCACTTGATCATCAGGAAATGTGCATCAAAACTGATTCAAATACCCCCAGAGCTATCATTATATTCAAAAATTTCACTTTAAGACCTGTTTTCTGATGCCAGAAAAATGAAAATAAAATTATACTGTAAGAATAGAAAGACAATGCAGTATGAGTTGGCAAAAGTTTTATTCCAAAGACTAAAATATACTTCCTGGAAATAATTCTCACTAAGGAAGACACCCATCAAAGAATAAACATCTAAAATGTGGCCATTTACTATTTTTCCCCTAATAAGACAATGTTCTTTGCTAATCCTCATATTATCCCACCCTTTCATATTTATTTCTGGTTTTCAGATACCAGAACATATAGTCAGTAAATTGCCTGCACAAATCAAAATGCTTTGCAGTCGCTCTGAACATGCAAGTTCCTAGAGCACAATCACTTCCTGAAATGTCTATCATCATCATCGTCATCCTCATCAACATCTCAATTATCTTTTCAGAAAAAGATGCACTGAATTCCATTAAATGTGTATTCTAGAATTTGCACAAGAATACACAGAGATTAGTTATATGTTGCATTTTCTCCTTAAAAAGTTGGACCAATATGTTACCAACTGATATAACATATAAATGAATGAAGTACAAAATAAATATGGGCACAATGTAAATATAGCAAATTCATATTACAATTCATACATGATTGTATAAAACTTTAAGACTAGGTGTGGTGGCTGACACCTGGAATCCCAACATTTTGGGAGACCAAGGCAGGAGGGCTGCTTGAGTCCTGGAGTTCAAGACCAGCCTGGGCAACATAGTGAGACCTCAATCTCCTCTACAAAAAAATAAATAAAAAATAAAATTATCCAGGTAAAGTGGCCCTTACCTATAGTCCCAGCTACTTGGGATCGCTAGAGCCCAGGAGATCAAGGCTGCAGAGGAAAAAAGGTTCTGACTAATTGTACAGGAACTCTTAAAGCTTCCTCCCAGATGTGACATATATATCTTCTTTTCATGATTTATTGACCAGAGCAAGTTACATGGTTATGCTTAACATATAGAGAATGGGAAATGGCAAACCACCTTGTGCACAGAAGAGAAGAGTCAGAAATATTTAGTAGACAGCATTAATGAAGACATGAATGAATAAATAATCACACATTCTCTAATATCAAAATGTCTGGAAAGGTTAAGTAGTTGGCATATACATTAAGTAAAGTCTAATATATCTTTGTGATTTTTTTTTTCTTTCCAGATATATTCAGCCCCTGAAGAATACTGGCAGAAACACAACTGTCTTAATGCAGCTTTCCAGGAATGCTCCATTTTTTTCTCTCTTCTTCCTTTCTCTAAGGCAGTTCTATACGAGTTTAGCAAAATTAAATATATGTGGAAGTGTTAGCAGATTCCTTCGAAGTAATTAGTGGGTTTTGCTTCATGAGGAGCAGGAAAAGTGAAAGTGACATGTATCAATTCCGTTGCTCCTGAGTTTATTTCCTTGAGCTAAACCAAAATGAAACAAGGGGGCACTGTAAATAGACTACAAAAACAAAAAACAAAAAACCTGTCCAAAAAGTTGACTTTGTTCTGAATTCCTTTATAATTGCCTCAGTGTTTTTATACAGTTTTAAATACAACAGACACAGTTTAAAATAGTGCATTTCATTTATTTTCACCATCTCCCACCTGTTCGTGAATGGCACTGGATAAGAATAAAGATGGCTAAACTGAGCATGGAGATGGGGAAAAGATAATGCTTATGCAAATGTCTGAAAAACTTACATTATTTTCTAAACATAGAAGAGGAGGCTTAAGTACTAAAAATATATACAACTGCTCCCTTACATATTACTATAGCTGCTTTTATAAAACTTTAAAGAATTTGCCTATCTCAGTTTATATTTTCTCAAATCTTTAGAATCAAAGTCCTTACATTATTCCA